TAAAACCTACATGTGTTGGTTGCAGTTGAGGATTCAGTTCTGAAATGACTTCTGAGAAGTTTAATAGGGACACTTGACAATGAAGACCTTCACAGCAAGTTCCATTAAGTTTGAAGCTAAATCCTGTAGTGGGATTGGCTGGTGATCCTGGCCAAATTAAAACTGACATTTCAACAGTGTTACTGCTTGTGGCTCACAGTCATAAACTTCAACATACTTTAGGTGATGATTTCCTGAAATGTATAGTATTTACAGAAATTAATAGGTGTCTCAATAATAAATAAATGTATTTTATARATTACCTGAGGCATCCAAGAGTCTAAACAGCTTAGTCGTCATTGTATCGCAGGTATGGCCATATAGCCAACAACTGATTCATCCGGATATAGCGGAACAAATACTCCCTCCTTTCAAGAACAAAAAAAGAAAGTAGCTAATTAAAATATCGTTCAACTAACTAAATGAACTCCTCAATGGAATCTAACACAAATTTAATTTAAGGACATGCCTTCCATTGCTCAAGTACATGAAATTTGTTTCTGTTGTAATGTAGTGATTTTGCACATCTCGCACAAAAGAACTGGTGARGGCCACAGTATATTCACATCGTGTCGTAGCGATAGCATCCACGCACTGTTACGCACCGCACATTTTGTGTTAGTTGCTGTTCTTTTATATAAGAACTTAATAAATTCTCTCGTACTTTATCCCAGTTATCAGAAATGCTGGTTATAAAAATCGTCGACTTTGTTCTGCTGTACTCTCGCTGCTTTCTTGATTTCGATTTTCCTTTTGAGACTCCGGCTTTCCAGGATCAACTCTCAGTGGAATAAATACTGTTGTCTTTTTTCCATCGCGCCCAACATTCTTCACTTTCAATGAAACGGGTTTTAATCGACGCATTTTAAGTTTAAATCTTCATASATTACTGTGTGATCTGTTTTGTTAAATTAGTATGGCGTCCTTAGTATACTAAGATTCACCAGTGAAAAGATTTGATTGGTCGATTTGTATATGAATATGTAATTAGTTGCTCAGATGACTTAGATGATCAT